TGATGAGATGACACATGTAAAACATTGAAAGCAGTGCATGTCATAGGATAAATATCAAACACCTATTAACTATTAATATTATTGATCCTACCTCTACCCGTATGTTAGCTTCAAGTGTAAAGCAGAATCTTCCTCTAACACATCCACCATTAAGACATCCTGAAGAGGGACCTCATTTTGGCCTCCTCCTGCTCTAACTTTCTCCTGACTTGGAGAAGTTAGAGGAGCCCAGGAGAGGAGCCCAGGTGGTTTCTCAGCCAGTGTTATTCATGGTGCCATGAAGTCCATGCCTGAGTCTTCCATCTCGCACTTTGTCTCCAAGCCTTGAAGAAGAGCCAGGTTTTTTCCCTTTTTCTTGCCCTCATAAGATAAGTTGGATAAAAACTATGCAGAGGCAGGCAAAGAGCCCCCATCTGAGTCCTGCAGTCCTGGCAGTAAGGTGTGAGAGGTGAGTCACACATCACATGCTGTTGAGTCCATGCGTGCAAAGCAGTCCACAGACTTTAGCACGCTCTCAGCAGAACATAGAATAGATTCTAGAGAGAAGAGGCAGCGTGAAATAGGAGGCCTTCCCTTTGTGCATAAATCTAATCAACATTCTTTAGTAGAGTTTTGCACAGGAGAGCAGCATCCTCCTGAGCTTCATTCAAAGTCACTAGGAGACACCCGTACTGTGATCACTTAGTGACTTGTTGCAAAAGGGAGTGGAGATTCTCACTTCTAACACTGACAGACTTGAGTAGATGCTGTCCAGCATTTACAAACTTTCTTTCTGACAAGTAATAGCTCCAAGGAAACATGTATGAGGAGATTGTCTCTGAGCCCTGATGGAGATGACTACAAAGTGGATCCGAGAAGGATTTACATTAACAAATTGGCTTTCCATGTTTCCTTGTGAGTCTGCCCAAAACTAGGCCCCTTGTCTGGAGATGGCAGCCTGTAATGGTGGGTAAAGCCTTGGTGCCTCAAAGGACAAGACAAGGCCATCCTAAGGACACCTGTCTCCAACCTCAGTTAGCTGGATAAAGACTGAAGGTGTAGGCATCTCACTCCCGCGATGGAGAGGACATAGTTCTCCTAAATTAGCATAATGTCTTATTTGGAGAAGTCCTTAGAGGGATTCCCAAGTTCTGCCAAGATTCCTGCATTTTCTTCAATATTCCCCTCCTTCCTTTAAAAACATAATAAATATGGGCTGCTTAGAGCAGGTCTTTGTCTTAACCCAGAGAATCTTGAATTCTGTGAGAGAGTTTTTGATCCTTCTGGAGCCCTGAAATCATTCCATTTTTCTCATTTATTTAAGTCTTCACCATCTGCTCTGATCAGGCCTGATCAGTCTGCAAAAACTAGGGGATAACATGAACACAATAGAGCCCAGGTAGTAAGGTGTGAGGTGAGTCACATGTCACATGCTGTTCCCTGAGAGTAGAAAAATGTTCCCTGAGAGAGAGTAGCCAAAGCCAAAGATTAGAAGAGCCTTTAGAGAGTGCAGGAACACCCAGTGCTCTGTCTTCAGGGAAGGCCTAGCTATTAACTCAGTTCTCCATGTTACCAACCTTCTGGTTTATCAGAAATTCATTCCTGCCTGTCCTCTCCGTCCAATAGATCACATTCTTCTGATGCTACACAGCCATTTTTTCAAGTCTGTATCTCCCCCCTCTTATCTACTGAAGTCGTCTTCCTCTGTTTATAATCTCTTCACTTTCCTGTGTACCCATGGCTGGCCCCTTGTGTGTGATCCATTCCACAGTGAAGATGAGATGATCAGATAAATTGTGACAATAGTTGTGCCTCACTCCTTTTAGCACACTTCCTTTCATACCTCTACTCTTGGCAAAAAAACAACAGCAAAAAAGTATTATTGTTTTCCACCATCTGTTCTCTTTGTCTGGAGTCTCTCTTCTGTCTATTTTTGAAGCCCCAATTCTATGTGTCTTATTTTTGTTTTGCCAGAGCAATATTTTTGCTTCTACACTAGGGCCTCAGCATGGGTCAAATTCATTTGCAGGAATTTTATTGTGTTCTTCTTGGCATCCAACAGTGCCTACAAAATGAACACCGGCCCCAGTACCTGATCTCCATGTGCACTGACAGCCTCATATAGTCCTGACCTCTGCAGTCACACCTGCCCATGGCTCACATTGCTTCACCTTTGCTGGTGAGGAAGAGACAAAGAAATCTGTTTCCTTCGTGTGTCATAGAAGCCAAGAATGTCGGAAAGGTAACTGAAGATGACTGCTTTTGCCTAATTGAATGTGAAGTTCAGTTTATTCTCTTTTATTCAAAAATGTTTCTGTCTTGATTTCTCACACATAACTTCAGACCAAGGATTTAGAAAATGTAGGTTCTACCTTATTGCAACTAAACAAAAACCTAAACAAACATTTTGGCTTACTTGCTTTTGATCGAGGCAACACACACATTAACTTGGAAGACTGCATGGTTGAGAAATACACCCTCCTTTTCCCCTGACACCACTGGCTAAACCCACTCAAAGGGCTGCACACTGTTCTCCAAGAAGTGTCACCTGTCTCTAACTTCCTCACTGCCCTGGAGAAAGCTAAAATTTTAACTCCCTCTGGCTTCTAATGAAAGATGATTTTTTTGCAGGCTTATGATTAAATAAAGAGCTCAGTGTTCCTGAATAAGAGAACTAAAAAGATATAAGTCATAGGGCTTTTTAATCAGTATCTCTTAAGATTTAAGAGCCTAGTGCAATTTATAATAGCTACATCTTGGAAACATCCCATACGCCCATCAACAGATGAATGGATAAAGAAAATAGGGTATTTTTATACAGTGGAATACCACTCTACCAATAAAGATAAAGAAAAGATAAACCTGGGACATTTTTAGGTAAATGGATGTACCTCCAGACTAAAATCCAAGTCAACTAAATCAGACACACAAGGTTAAATATCACATTGTTTCTCACGTGAGAAACAAAAAGTATAAACAATGGGCAAAATAGAGGGTAGATATTAGAAGGTAGGAAGAAGCTATTTAAATGGGAAGGGGAAAAAGAGATGGAGGAAAGGGAGGGGAGGAATGGAAAGGGGACTTAAAGCGAAAAAAGACTTGAAGAAAAAATGGAAATGGAGGTTTTGTAAATGGGGAGCAGGAGAAGAGTTGGATAGAGGGGCGAGGAAAGGGATTAAAAAAGAATTGAGATGCGTTCACAAATCCCCTGTGATGAATGTGTTCATTATGTACCACAAACATGTACTAATAAAAAAAAAAGATTTGTAGAACCTAGAACATCTGATGGTTCACATATACAGTAGCCTACTTTTTCTCAGAAAAGCAGACCACCTCAGGTTTTTTACTGCACTGCATCCTGTCTACCTGATATGCTTCATCCAACATCCCTCTACAATCCTATGCCTACAACTGCTAGTGTGGTCTTTGTTGGTGATAAACTCTACCTCATTTGGTCTGACAGACTCTTAATAATATGTTCCTTGCTCCAGTGACTTTCTTTCAAGTCTTTGACTTTGTTGAGGGGAATTCAATGAACTGGGTTATGGTAATATCAAACATCACTGGTGATTCTTCTGGTTTGTGCCTTGCTCCCAGAGGGTCAGCTTCCTTAGGACAGACATAGCATCATAATAATCCTTTCAAGTTGCTCTTAGGATCTTTCCAAATCTCTCTGAACATAGCTCAGATCCTGGACACTCAAAGCTGATACTATGTCTTTCTAAAAAACTCTGGCTATAAATTCACAAAGCTGCATCTACTTTCACATCAAAGGAATCCATTTGTTTTTCCCCAGGCAAATAAGTTCCCCAGAGATGAAAATATTGTTTACTATCTTGAGCCCTAGTACTATCCTGAGTCAAAATTTCAGAGAATATGGCATGAACAGGTGGGACACTCCTCCCAGATTAGGGAAGAATCTGACACATATTTTTGGCACACTCCCTATGATGTCCAAGAATCTCTTGATGTCTTTAATTTCCCTTGATGCTGAGATGGTGAAATATGAGAACCACTTCCTTTTTTGGTTCCCAATTCCTTTTGATCAGCAGCATTACTAACACGTTTCCTTCTTTTTGTAGTCACATCCTCCTAACAGGGCAGCAGAGACAAAGAATGAAGAGTGTGGTCAGAAGGTCTTTCTCACCTTGACAAAGTTATATATGGAAATAGAGGTCTGGGCCCAAAGGAGGTCTGGACCTGGATAGTTTGCTGGGAGATGAAAGGATAGAATACTGGGAAGTCTAGGTTTTACTCCCAGCTCATTTATTAATACATGCTTTTGAGTAAGTTGTTCTCCTTATTCTTTTCCCTCACCTGAGGAAGGATTACCTTATTTCCTCCGAGCTTCTTCCTATCTACGTAGTGCTAGGAATCTTCGCAGTGATACGGCCTGGGTGCACCAAAAGTGTGCCAAATGCTGTCCAGAACAAGTCAAGGCACGATCTAACCCCCACCAACCAATCTCAGTGCATGAGACATGGAGCCTGTCTCTACTCCACACCATCCTCACCCAACTGTGCATCTGGCAGATATTTTCTGAATGTTGAGTTATAAAAATAGCAAGTTAAAGGAAAAGAATAAAGAGCAGAAAGGATGAAAATTAACATAAGATAGCTACTGAAATATTAAACTACTGCTTAGACTCATTCAACAGCCATGGGATTAGAAGTCAAGTAACTGAAACAATCTTTCGCAGCACACAGCTCTGTCCTCAAGAGACACTTCGTGCTCCCGTCCTCCATAGCCAAGCCTGGTCCTCAAGTGCCCTAAATCAGTGATGGCGGACCTTTTCGAGTTTTCAGTGATAACAATGAGCCTGCTGTGGCACACATACCATAGGTTCCCCACCACCGCCTTAAATGTACAGATAAGGATACACCGACCCTCCCCAACCCAGAATGCCAACTGTCCCATAGGAAGGGGCCTTAGTTATTCTCACTACATTCTCATACACTGTAGAAAGAATAAATGAAAACCCTTCAGCACCAAAGCCTAGGAGGGTTCAGCGCTGCACCTACCTTCTTCAGGCCTGCAGTGTCTGCACCATGTGCTGATGAGAGTCAAGCTCCAGGGAAAATTCTCAGGTTCTGCATCCAAACACAGTCACCTCCACACACTCCAGTTTAATTCTGCATTCTCCTTTTCAAAGATTTTTTTTCTAAATCCTAGAGGCTGTGCTAAGAATTTTTGAGAAACTAGAATATGTAGTTCCCTTTTTATGTCAGTAGTATCATCTGACTTTTTGTCTCTCTTGTGGATGTTTGCATATTTTGAAATGTGCTGGAAATGCAGTAGCTGCAACTTCTGGTTACTCGTATGGAAGCAAGAGCGGTTATTTCTATGGACATGAGTGTGAGGATGTGCTGTGTAACAGACTCCGTTGAAAGGTCCTGATGGAGACAAAGTAAATTAATGGCACTTGGAAGAACATGAAAAACTATTTTCTCAGTATTACACATATGTCACCCAATGTAAATGCGGCATTTACACAAAATTCCATGGTTGGGCATTCATCAAGAGGGCCCATTCCATGGTAACATGGCTGAATAGCAGCAATGAACACACCACCATTCTAACTCAATGAAGCACCTGGTGTCAAACGAGCCTGGTATTTTACTAAGACGTTTTCAGTTGTGTTATTTATTGTGTGACCTTCTTTTCTCTTGAACCTATGATTCCTCATTTATGAATGGGACCACATTTACCTTGCCAGATTTCTGTATTATCCAGTTTTCAACTGCTCTAGCAGAATACTTCAGCCTGGGTAATTTGTAAAGAAAAGAGTTTCATTTATCTCATTGTTTCGAAAGTCCAAAAGCATGGCTCAAGCATCTGGTGGCTCTAATGAGGGCCCTCTGGTTATATCACAGTATGGTGGATGGTATAATGATGGGAGGGTGTAGGAGAGGTTAAGATTGCATGGTCAGTTAAAAAGACAGAGTAGAAAAGGAACAGTTTTCATTATCATGAGAACCAACCAGAGACCCAGTAATCTTAATATCTTCAGGAACAGTGCCTTGGCAACTTCCTCACCTCTTGTGTCCACTGCCTCAACACTGCCACACTGAGGAGGAAACCTCCAACACAAGGTGCCAGGGGACACACACTGTCCAAGCCACAGCAGAGAGGAAAAGCAGCAGTCATCAGTTTTCCCCACTCAATACATTGTAGAGGAAAAACCATCGACAAGTATAAGTAAGATAAAGGTTTGATCACAGGAAATAGGGAAGTAGCCCTTGGAAATGGGAAAGGGTTCTAGGGATGAGGGAGAGGGGAAGGAAAGGAAGGGAAGGGGATGTAAATATGTGCAGTATGTGCACGCACCAACTCCCCTCAGAGAGTGTGTTCACTGTGATTCACAGACATGCACTAATAAAGGAGGAAAAGGAATATACACAGAAAGGAGTTCAACTTTAACCTAAAGACTAGTGCTTTCCTGAGCCTCCTTCTCAGTCTAACCTAAGTTGTTCTAAACCATCATTGGAGTGGCCAAACTGTAGTCATTAATCTCCAGAACCCCAGGACTCAGACTTGAACATTCCACACTCTTCAAAGAGTGCATGCCAATTTGTGGGTCCTAATCTGTAGCCACTTACTTGGAGTCATTATGCAGCGATGAGATCAAGGTGTCAGTGTGCCTTATGATCATCAGATGAGATCACAGAAAGGAAAAGAGATTTGAAGAAGACTCTGTGCTGTTGGTAACTGTTGCAATAATTTCAAAAAAATTCTACCCAAGAGTGATATAATTGTCTTTACAACAAAGTTAATATCAGACATAGCCTTCCAATTTTGTGAACTGATACTTGAGACCATAATTATTGGGGTACCACTTGGTGTCCAATATGTGTACACTGCATAAAGTTCAAGCATACTTTTCTCCTCAAATACTTGTCATTTTATAATTCTTCATAATATTTGATGTTTTTATGGGTAGGATGGATGGCATATTGCCATCTGACCTTCCCAGAAACATTCAAACTTATCTAATGATATGTATTTATATTTCTGAGATTATAGTATTTTCTTGTTTCTTGCTACACTCCTTGCTACCTAAAAATCCCTCAGAGAGACTAGCCAAATCTATTGCCAAAACTAAAACAATTTCTGTTCATAAATACAAGTGGCTTTCTTTGTCCTCGGCACCAAGCAGGACCTGCTCAGGGTGAGACAATAGGGAGGTATGCAAGCTGACAGAGGAATTTGATACCTGACATTTCTTGAGAAGTCCTGGGAAGGTTGCTGTAATCAGTGCATGTATAAAATGTACTCAGCCTCTGCTATGTTGATACCACACCCAACCCCACCTTTTCATTCCAAAGCATTCTTTGTTGTGAATTTGAGGCACTGTCCTTTGAGTAAGGAAAAATGGAAAAACCAGAATCTCTTCTGAGATTCAATACGCTGCATAAAAACTCTTAGCTACGAAGCCCTGTCAATTGCAAAAGACAAGTTATATAGGCCCAAAATATAATGGCAAGGGGCAAAAGTTCCCGTTCCAAAATGTAAGAATAGGGGGATAGAAAAGAATTAGACTAAAGCAAGCCTGAAACACAGCAGGGCAAACAATAATTCTGTAGCTCCCTGTTCAGCATCCGGGGTAACTGATGGTGAGATGTGAATTCCAGATGGCTTGGTCAACCCCAGCGCCTTGCTGGTTGCAGCCCATATGGTCTCTCTCTTGGGCTTGCTCTGCTAACTGCCTGAAACCTTGCTTGCCAGAGGTTCCATATTCCCGGCACCTCCAATTTTCGCGAGTCTCCACTGCACCTTCAGCTTCATTCCCGTGCTTCACACATCACTTGTGCATTCCGATCCTGCCACACATTTTCAGCCATCCTCAGAGGCTACTATTAATTGGGACAGGCCACCTCGACTGAGTAAGAATGGCCTAGCAGGCTAGTAAAGCTCTGGATGTGTCTGTGGATGATGGGCAGCTGCCAGAGACCTTCCAATGCCAGTTCCTTGACAAAGTCAGGACTGGCAGTGGATATCTGCAAAGCAGGGACCACATGGGATGGGTGTGTGGCCTCTCTCTCTCCTCTCTATTAATCATAGCTTTCCAGATATTCATTGTGCTATTGATAAAGATGGTTGGCAACCTGAAGGATCAGAACTGAGAGTAGTTAAGGAATCAGAGCCCAGGATGAAAGACATCCCTCCAGGGTTGAAAGGGGAAGTAAAATCCACCACAGAGATTTGCATCAGTCCCCTACCTCCTGTCTGGCAACGTTTGCCCGCCAGAATGGGACGGGAGTGCTGTATGTGCCTCAGTGCATTGGAAAACAGTAGGCAAATGCCCTGTGTGTGCTGGAGTGGCTCTAGATGGAGCTATTATAAATGTGGGTCCTGCTGTCCAATAGACAAGTGAACAATTCTGTGAAGCATTATACCTAATCAAGAACACCGAGTGATTGATCTTTTTGCCTCCTTTTATGTGCTGTAGAAAAGTTGATTTCCTGCTAGGATTGCTGCCAGTCAGTCAACCATGTCTGAATCTGTAACCAAAATAGAAACCTCACTGTATCTAAGCAAAAACTGTTTAACCTGCCAAGTTTCATTTGTAATTGCAAAAGTATATAATAACGCAGAAAACATTTCTCTGTGTCGGAGCCTTGCTCCCCTGTCCCACCAGAAGGACCTCTGGTGCCTGTGTTGTTTGTCTCTTGGCCTGCATCGTTCCCTCCTGCAGGAATCTCCTGGACCTGCTGTGGCCAGACTGCAGCAAGTTGGCATGTGAACAGGGACTTGACAGGTAAGCAAATTTTCGGGTATGACCGGGACCCCGCTAGAAGGGTGTCTCGAGCCCGCCTGAGAGGGAGGCATAAGTGGCCTCTCGGCAGGTTAAAGGTTTGATTAGCAGAAAGTTACAGAACTTTTGAGAAGTCATGGACCATACTTAGTCTAAAGAAAGAGGACTCTGGGTAGAAATAGTTCAGTCTATGCTTGAGAAAAAAGGAATTAAAACCTCCAACCATCAGGTTGGATGACTTTTGCATTTTGTTCAAGAATGCTACTGCCCTTTGTTCCCTAAAGAGGGTACTTTGAATCTGCCCACATGGAGAAAGGTTGGGGAAACTTAAAAAATGTTACAGACAGCACTGTCCAGAGGAAGTTCCAGCTGATGCTTTCACTTTGTGGAACTTAATTCGTGAAACTTTACATTCCGTGCAGAAAGGTTGCCAGCTTGCCAAAAATCTTGATGAATCTCCCAAGGAGTCCACCCCTTTAATTAGGTCACCTAGTATTACTTTTCAGGTTAAAAGGTCTGGGACTCCCCCGCTGCCGCCTGATAATGGAGACTCTGAGGGCGAGTCCCTCAGTCCTGACAAAGCAGCCCAATTGGAGGAAGAGGCCATTCATTATGGGCATCATGACGATTTCTTTTTGCCCATAGCTGATGAGGTCAATCAGACTAAGATTAAGGAAAACCTTTCAGGTAGTTTTGCAGCCTTGTAACAGTGTGGGCCCACCAGGGAGGCTACTAGAAGTATTGTTTGCTACTGTGGTCACTGTCCAACTTACTCTAATTCTCCTTCTTTTGGTGTTAATCCTAAAGGCCTCAGACCTAATCATCTTTGGCAGATGGATGTCACTCATGTTTCCTCTTTTAGGAAGTTGTCTTTTGTTCGCGTGTGTGTTGACACCTTTTCTCACTTTACATTAGCTTCTGCTCGAACAGGTGAAGCAGTAAAGATCTATTTCTATGCTTTGCCATCATGGGCAAGCCCAAAGCCTTTAAAACAGGCAGTGCTCCTGCTTATACTTCTAAAGCATTTTTCACCTTCTGTGATACATTTGAAATTTCTCATTCCACAGGAATGCCCTATAAGCCTCAAGGGCAGGGCATTGTGGAAAGAGCTCACCAAACCTTAAACACTCAAATGTTTACATGTTTAAAAGAGGGGGAATACACCTATAACACATCACAACAAATTATTAATCATTCACTTTATATTTTAAATTTTTAAAATTTGGATCTGTCAGACCCCCCTGCAGCCCATAGACACTGGATAGATCTGTCTCCAAATAAGCCTTTGGTTAAGTGGGAGGATGTTTTAACAGGCCAATGGAAAGGTCCCGATGTTTTATTAATGTGGGGGCCAGAGTATGCTTGTGTCTTCCCTCAGGACACAGAAACACCTGTTTGGATTCCAGAGTGACTGGTGCGACACCATGGATCAACCGCACAAACCGCCGACTCCAATGCCCTGCCCCCCACCAAGGGAACCTCTGCCAACACCTCCAGGGACACCACTGTTCCTGTCCCATGACAAACCAGAATCACTGATCCTGCCGCTGAAGATGATACAATTCCATACTGGTTCCTCCTCACGCCACACTAAACCCCACCACATAACTGCTGTGTTCAATCCCCCTTTGTGCTTTTAATGGATAAAGGGAAAGGAAAACTTGACATTATCCAGAGTACTAATGGTATTGGAATAATATATCACATCGTTTGTAAAAATTGTACTTTAACCAATTGTATTTCCACTCTGCTACTGGATGAAACTGTGGTTATATTACAACAACCTCCTTTTTCTGAGATGTCATGCTGAATATCAGTGGATTTATGTCACTCTCTTAGAATATAGTGAAACCTGTATACTTGGGAAAGAATTCTAATACATCTTATGGGAGTATGGAATAATAGTGATATTAGTTAAGATCTTTCCTCTTTGCATCAAAAAATACAGGCTATTTCTCATTCAGGGTCATCTCTCCTCCCCACTTCTGAAGTGACATCTGATGTACGTAAAATTAAAACCCTTGTTCAGGATCATAACTTCGTGACATTTGTTTATAATGTTGCCATTATTTGAGGAATAGTTCTGATTTTTGTTGTTCTCCTTCCAGTCATCATCTGAGCCCTCTTCTGAGGAATCCAATCTGCACAGATAGGTATCAAGATACTACAATTAAAAAGCAAAAAGGGAGAGATGCTGGAGACCTTCCAATGCCAGTTCCTTGACAAAGTCAGGACTGGCAGTGGATATCTGCAAAGCAGGGACCACACGGGATGGGTGTGCGGCCTCTCTCTCTACTCTCTATTAATCATAGCTTTCCAGATATTCACTGTGCTATTGATAATGATGGTTGGGAACGTGAAGGATCAGAACTGAAAGTAGTTAAGGAATCAGAGCCCAGGATGAAAGGCACCCCTCCAGGGTTGAAAGGGGAAGTAAAATCCACCACAGAGATTTGCGTCAGTCCCCTACCTCCTGTGTGGCAATGTTCGCCCACTGGAGTGGGAGGGGAGCGCTGGGTGGGCCTAGTGCGTGGGAAAACATTAGGTGAAGACCCTGTGTGCGCTGAACTGGCTCTAGATGGAGATATTGTAAGTGTGGGTCCTGTTGTCCAGTAGACAGGTGAACAATTCTGTGAAAAATTATACCTAATCAAGAACACCTAGCGATTGATCATTTTGCTTTCTTTTATGTGCTTTAGAAAAGTTGATTTCCCACTAGGGTTGTGGCCAGACGGTCAGTCAACCATGTCTGAATCTGTAACTAAAATAGAAACCTCACTGTATCTAAGAATTTCACATGTCATTGCAAAAGTATATAATAAAGCAAAAACATTCCTCTGTGTCAGAGGAGCCTTGCTCCCCTGTCCCACCAGAAGGACCTCTGGTGTCTGTGTTGTTTGTCTCTTTGCCCCTGTCATTCTCTCCTGCAGGAATCTCCTGGACCTCCTGGGGCCAGACCATGGCAGACAGCAAATTGGGGATGGAAGACACATCCTGGATGTGGATGGAATCAACCAATAGGCTTGTAGCCTGGGTGGAATAAAAAGGGAAAGAATAAGAAAGGGCTCCCTTTTTTGAAGAATTTCCAGTCATCACCCTTGCCTTTGGACACTTGTTCCCAGCTTGTTTAACCTTCCAGTGCAGACTCTTCCACCTCCCAAGACTCACAGCTCTGTCTCTACAGGTTCCAAGGCGTTACAGTCTTCAACTGGGATATGATCCTCTGCCTCTCCCATGTAGACCCAGTCATTTTAGATTTGTCCACCTCTGATCCACAGATAGCCACTGAGACTCTAATGCTTCTGATCCTGTAAGTCTATCTAATAATTCCTTGGTATAATCATGCATATATCTTATATTGATTCTACTTTTCTATAAATCCCTTATATGCAGGCCTTCCATTGAAATCTGGGTGGAAGCACCTATGACCCCATAACTCTTGCATTTTGTATACTTGTAACACCAGCATCCAAGTGATTAATATCTGTAAGCACACGCTAAAGTCTCCCCCCAGCTTGTTCGCTCCCCAGTAACCTTGGACAATGCAGTGCCTTTTGCGTGCCTCTGTGACAGAGCATGATGAAGTAATGCCAGGTTACCTTCCCTAGGCAGCCCTGTCAAGCAGGGAGCTGTGAGGCTGTCTTCCCAAATGAAAGGTTGGAGCATTTACACCCTGTGGTCTACGATATGTGGGATCATGGTGACTTGTAAGATGCCCTCAAGGCAACTTTCTTTTTACCCAGGTGAAAAATACTTGCTTTATTTTTAACTAGACTCAGTCAGGCTTACTGTCTGGGAAGGACTTCCTGCAGCATTTCTTTACATAAGTTTTCACTCTCATCCTACTAGATCAAGGACATGCTTATTCTCTTCTGTCCAGCAGGACATTCTAATCTCACTCTGAGTTTCAAGACCTGTATTTCCTACACAGGCACACCTGTTTTATGTCTATTTCTTTCTGAACTTCATCTCCTGTACTCAGAAATATTTCTGAAACTGAATGTTGCTCAGTAACCTTCATGGTACTGAAATTGTAACTTGGTGCTCCTTTGTATTAGAATTTGCTTTGAAGAAAGAACACTTTTTAAATAAAGGAAGATAATCTTTTATTTGTTAGGCCACGTGTAATTCTTAATTTTTTATTGTTTGCGTATATCTTGTCCTATTGTCCAAGACATATACTTGCCCTGAATGTGTCATTGTTGAGTAAGATTGCACAAAACCATGACACCAGTCAAGTCACTCTCACACAGTGGCTTTCCAGGGCCTTAAGATACTCCAGGTCATGCAAGGTAGGATTGCTTTGATCAGCTTCCTGAAACTTGAGCCTCCCCCAGAAGGCATAACTCTGGCTTCTCTGAGTTCCCATCTGTCTTCTGGAGGTCTCCTATCCTAATTTAATCCAGGGTTTATGGCTACACACGATCTTGTACTTATAGCATACAGATGTGTGAAATATACTGCAATTTCTTTTTCTAAAAAAAATAAAGTCCTGCTAACATCAAACAAATCACTGCTATAACCTACCAAGACTCTGAATTTAACATGCATTTAGTGTGTGTGTGTGTGTGTGTGTGTGTGTGTGTGTGTGTGTGAGTGTGTGTGTGTGAGTTGCTGCCAATATGTGGAAGCTGCATGTTATTAGACAAGTGTGTGTTTGTGTTGGTGAAGCCTCAGTTTTTAATCTGGTAATTAGAGAGTATTACACACACTATGAAACTACCGTAATGATAAGAGAAAATGCTTGTGAAAGACTTATACTGCTCTGAAGGAACAGTAATATATAAGTATAAAAATAACATTTCTAGGAATAATAATATTGATGAGAAATAGTATTGCATATTATACAATTAACCATAGTAAAAACAGTAATAATGACCATATGCTTTCAAGAAGCATGGATTATTATATGGCTAAGAGAAGTAATGATAAACATAAAAAATAGTTTTGTTACTTTGCTATTTACATCTACTCTTTGCTTTGTCTAATTCCCTTGACTCTTGACAAGCTGTGCAGCATTGTGCACCCACTGTCTAGTTGCTGCTTGTTCTACAGCCCCCTCCTCCTCGTCTGGTTACCCTCTCTCTCTGAAAATAGATCCTTGTCCTCAGGAAAGACAGAACTCTTCTAGAGAAATAAGAAAACTGTGAGAAGCACAAATGAGAAGATTTAGCAAGACCTGCAAAATGCAACAGACACACACTTGGGAGGGTTTCACGAGGAAGGCAGGTCCTTGTGCCCTTTGGCCCTGAGGTGAGAGATCTCTGGAGCCTGTGTTTGGTGTACTGGTCAAAGAATCCAGGGCCAGCGCTGCCTCTGTGCAGCCCCTGCCCCATACTCCCTCCCTCCTTCCCGGGGTGAACCTTCACTGTCACCTCAGAGGACAGATGTGTTCTGCTTTTCCTCCACACACTGACTCTTCTAGTGAAGACAGAAGATAGGAAACATCATTTAGAATCTTGGCTTTATTTCTCAGGGCTGGAATGCACAGTAATTATTTACTACAATCCTGTATCTTAAGTGCTAGACGTGAGTATGAGGGAAAGACTCATTTTGCTCAGAAATCAGCGGTGAGAGGCACCAAAACCTCCATTCCATCTCCCCCAGGTTTCCTGTTTCCCCTTCTGCTGCCAATCAGTTGAATTTTTTTTTTTTTTGGCTCAATTCAGATAAAGATCATGAATTAGCAAAGTACAGCTCTGCAAGTAGTGAGTGCCACCGCCCCTCAACGTCTGTGAACACTGGGTGATGTCAGTCCATACTGCTGACCGCTGGTCCGCGATCGGTCTTCCTTGGCTGAAGGTCTCCAGAGCTCTCCAGGGTAAATGTCTGCTAGTTCTTATTGTTGAGCCAACTACTCTGTCCACAGATCCACAGAACAGAGAATAAAAATCATGAGTAACTTACAAGACCTGAGTCCACACTACCTGGGAAATAAATCACAAGCAGCTTTGTGGGACCACCAAGGCATGTCTTTTCTTTTTTAACACAGAAGCGGGTGAGTACCGTACACCAGAGGCAGCCGTGCTGGACAAACTGGAGAAGTGTACAGGGAATGCTGCTTACCAATCCCCTGCAGGCCAGGGATGAGTACAAGCTGAGCTGTGATTGGTTCAAATTTGGGCCTGTTAATTGGTCTGAGGGCAGCCCTAGGTTTGGGCTCCAGGACAGCCCCAGCTGACATGGTGGTGGTTTGGTTAGAGAGTAGAGCTCTTCTGTTGACCACTCTACCATCTCCCCGAAACAATGGCAGGCTGAAGCTGGGGAGTCTTTGGGAGGTCCAGCTGCATCCATCACAACTAGTGGGGACTGGGGAGGTTGGGAATGTTACTTATAAGTCCAGATCCATCTGTCCCTGGCCATAAACATGTTTTAGTGGTTCTCCCCCTCTTCAGAGAAGCAGCAGGAGCATTTGAGGTGGCAGGATCAGAGGAGGGGGTGGCAGCTGATGGGAAAAAGCAACCACCAAATAACCAGGGAGGACACCGAGGAAGGTTGTCCAGGTCCAACCTGGGGGCAGAGCAACAAAGAGAAAGGAGGGACAGGGGTGCGACAACCTTGACCAAACCATACCCTCTTGGCCAACGTCGTGGGAAAAAGATTCAGGCTTCTCTCCCTCCTGGCTTCCTAGGGAGTCTGCTGCCATTTCTCCATCACGTCCTATGGCTGTGACAAAATCCACTGAGTCAGGAGGTGCAGCTCTGCTCCTGCACTCAGACAAAGAAGGGAAACCACACCTCCTGTTCCTAAAGGAAAACTGACTAAACCAGTTAAATTTGCCCATCCAAGCAGCACTTTCTCTGCAGTCCGTTTCTTCGATCTAACATTTTTCCCAGTACTAGAGACTGAAATCAAGGTCTTCACTCTGAGCTGTATTCTGAGCCCTTTTTACTTTTAGTTTAAGATAAAGTTTCTCTGAATTGCCCAGGCTAGGGTTGAACTAGCAGTTCTTCTGCCTCAGCCTCCTAGAGTGCAGAGTTTGCAAATTTGTACCACCACACTCAACTCTTCTCTATGAATTTGTAAAATCTTAGAGAAGTTTAAGGATGACATACTATAAGACAGCTACATAATTCCCCCAAAGTGGCCTGCTTACTGTCTTCCCTCTCTATCCACCCCATGCAAGTTCATTCTCTGCCTCTCTCTCTCTGTCTCTGTCTCTCTCCCTCATTCCCCTCCCCTTCCTCCCTCTCCTGTTCTTGTTTTCCTTTAGGAACTCAGCAATCTCCAAAGCAGATTCCTCTCTCTTCTTTCTCCGCTCAGTCCCACCACACCCTCAGGTACGTCCAGAGTCTGAGCTCCATCACCCTAATCAGAATGGAAATGACCCATGCTGATAACCTAGGGAGGAGATTGTCAAAAGACACTGCTAATGACATATTGTGTAGATAACTTCTTTTGGGAACAGTCCTGAGTACTGTAGGTTTCTTAGCAATGCCCTGGCCTCTATTCACCAAAGATGTGTCAGCCAGGTCAGTCACTAGATATTGCCAATGTCCACTGATACAGGAAGACATTTTATTGATTACTAAACCCCATACTCTGAATCACTAATCTAGAAGTGAAAGGGATTTTTGTGAATTCTGTGTGAACGTGACAAAAAAAATCAGCACTATATTCTTTAAATCAAGTTAATTTATTTTAAGTGTCCTAAAATACAGTACATATAATTTATGATGCTAAATATTTTAGGTGTGTTTCCATTGTGTTATATTTCTTGTATGGCAGATCTTTAAAATTTTGTTTTACCTTGCAAAAGAGAAACTACACTTATTGGACAGCACCATCCCATTTCCTTCCTAACCCAGCTCCTGGCAACCACTGGTCTATTTTTTGTTTCCTACAGGCTTTCTGAACAGTCCCAGTAACTCATGAACTTAGAATCATACAGGATTCTGGTGTGTGTGTGTGTGTGTGTGTGTGTGTGTGTGTGTATTGCTTCACTTAGCACGCTGCTCTCAACTTTCATCCATTCTCTACTATACGGTGGGATTTCTTTCTTTTGCAGGACTGGTTAATGTACCACACTTCCTTTATGCAACTTTCAGCACACATTTCCTTACTTCCATCCACTGGCTATTATGAACTGTGTCGCAAAGACCACACATGAGCAAACGTCTTTTCAAGATCACATAGCTTACAAGTCTTCATGGTTCAAGGCTGGTCTCTGGAGAATTGCTTTGTTCTGGTTGAGCCATGTTTGTCTGTGTGCTCTGTGATCTTTTGCTGGGATTTGGGCATTGAGAAAACATCAGCCTTCTCATCATTACAGATTGGTTTGTGCAGGGTTAGCCCTCTGCACCAGCAAAG